GATGTTCACAGATTCTGGCATGGACTTCGAGGTGAAGCTATTTTCCCTGGTCGGTTGGGATGCACTTCATGAGCACTCCCGACGGACTTTGCTTGTAAAGTTCATTACTAATGGTGATGAACGTCTTGGTGCATCGAGTGATTCATCGCGCTTTAGTCCTTTCCAGTGGGAGAACCTCCTCGAGGAGGTAGGCGAGCAGTGGTGCTCTCAAGTCGACTGAATCAAGTGCCATCACGGCGATGTCGCGGGGCGACGTTGCCATGGAGGCACCAAGGTCGGAGCCCCCGAGCACTCGATCGGGGTCGGGGCATGTCGAGGGTCAGAGCCCCCGAGTGCTAGATTGGTGTTGGATCACGTCTGGATCGGATCCTCTCGGATGCGGGCAGATGGCTCATGGAGGTCGTTTACAAAGACCCCATCGGCGGGCGGTTCGTCTGGCCGCCAATTTTGCGAGGAAGTCAGCAGCGTCATTGACCTTTTGAGGGACATGATGCAGTTTGACCACTCAGAACTTGTCCTCGAGCTTGCGCATCTCCTGGCAATACGCCGCCACGAGAGGGCTCTTGTAGGAGGACTCCTTCATGACTTGGTCGAGGAGCAACTCTGAGTCTCCATGGACATACAACCGCGTGGCGTCAAGCTCGACGGCGATGCATAGTCCATTGATGAGGGCCTCATACTCTGTGGCATTGTTCGAGGCTGAAAAATGGAGATGGATCGCGTAGCGGAGCCTGCTCCCATTCAGGGAGATCAGAATCACTCCAGCCCCCAAGCCAGGCGCCATGACCGACCTATCAAAGTACATCGTCCAGTACTCGTGGGTGACGTCTGGGGTTGGGAGCTGGACTTCTATCCATTCGGCAATGAAGTCAGCAAGAGCCTGAGACTTAATAGCGGTGCGGGGGACATACCTGATGTCATGGCCCATGAGCTCAAGAGCCCACTTGGAGATTCGGCCGGCGGCATCGCGATTACGGATGACCTCCCCAAGTGGGTATGATGTAGACTAGGCCCGATCTTTCGAAAGGTATGATAGCGTTGATTGGTGGAGACTCGACGTTCACGATCTAGGCTTCGAACCAAGACTGATTCGGACCCCCGCAACCGTTACACCACTGCGCCGTTGGTTATCAACCACGCGAACGCGATTGATCTCGCCGAGAAGGCTTTTCTGCAAGCGAATCGAGAACATAAGCAAGAACGGAATTAATGCAATCTGAAATTGCAAATAAATATGAGGCTTATGAAAATAAGAAGGAGTTCAAGTCTTTATTCGAAAGGACTAATCGCCACAGGCGAACAAGATCAAGAACTGGGGCCCTGGTTCATAGCAAGCGGCCTTGGCGGCAACAGTTGCAGCAAAACAATGTGTGTTTCATGAGAAAATCAAGAACTAAACAAAACCCAAACCCTAAGGAGAGCGACGGCTGATAAATATAGAGTCTTGGGCGTCACCCCCCTGGATGCGCCCCCTAATGGGCCCAAACACAATACACGGTCCAACGGACCAAATTACGGTGTCGCAGCACCCTGGCAGATTTTGGGCGCTGACTTGTGACCACGATTCCCGTTGATTTCGAACAGCTTTTGACGTGAGAGGGGGTGGAGGCATGGTTCGTGGCGATGTCGAGCAGGTCACGGGTGGTACGGGGCTTCACACAATCGAGTTTGTGGATCAAGGACTCGCAGGTTGTCCCTGAGAGAAACGCACTGATGATGTCCGCATCGATGACATTAGGAAGGGAGTTGCACTGCTTTTAGAACCTATGGATGTAATCCCGTAGGGACTCGTTGGGCTCCTGGGACAGAGGGTGGCCAGGTGCCATGACGTCGCCGATGCTAGAGCCATCGCTTTCAACCTCGTCATCGACGAGGTCATGGAAGGAGGCAGGAGCGTAGCCCGCTATCCCCACAAACATGGACGTGAGAGGGTGAGTCCCCGCGCGCATGCGTCGATGGGGGACGCAAAGCCATAGGGGAGCTAGTTGCACAGCGGTCGCGGTGGGGACAACGGGGTCCCTCCGGAGAGTCGGCGGAAAGTGTTAAATAGTGAGTAAAGAACAATATGTACATCACTCACCATGGGGTTTGAGTCAGCATGGGCTTGAGGCGAAGCGCGGGTGTCTCGACGTTGAGGTCGTCGAGTGGCCCGTTGCAGTCAGTGGAGGGCGCTCCTCCTCCAGTGGGCGTCGGGACAAGCGCCTCTTCGCGGAGTTGAAGTACGCCGAGCTAGTCAGCGACAAAGTCCATACTCCCATAGAGGAAGGCCTGGAGTGGCACGAAGACGGGAGGAGCCCACATCGCAGCAAGTGGGAGAATGGGAAACTCCAGCGAGCTGAAGCGAATCGTATCGCTCGAGCCCACCATGCCAAAGATGGGGAAAGGTGGGCCATCCGATGACCAAAGGCGTGAACGCACGACGTCTTCCCCACGTACGGCGCCACTGTTGGTGCGAAAAGTGATCAACAAGTAAATATTTGTTGTTTTGCCGTACATTATGATCGGATGTGGCCTAGCACTAAGTGACACAAGATTTATAATGGTTTAGGCAATAGGCCCTACATCCAGTTGAGGTCGGTCGGTGGCTTTATTCCTGAGCCTAGGTACTCAAAGTTTGTTGTGGGGTTATAAACGAATAAGAAATAAGAAAGGGGGATGTTAGAGGCCTGGTCGGACTCAGAACCGAGTGGAAGAGAGTGACGGATGCTCAAACGTGCGCTAAGTATTGAAACGTATGCTCTGGGTGTCCGAGCTTATCCGCTGTTGAGAGCGTGTAGACTGTGTAGCTGTCGAGTCCTAGAGCTATTGAGCTGTCGAGTCGACCAGTCCTGGGGATTTTTAGAAGAGAGCTCATCCCCTTTTATAGTTGAAGGGGATGGCCTTACAAGTCAGAGAAAAAGAGAGAGTGTGTGTATACGTGTGCTGTCTAGTCTTGTTGCCCACACTATCGGGTATGGGATGACCATCGGCGCCCATAATACTGTTTATGTTCAAACACATCTAGCAGGCTCTACCATGTTCACCTGGTACGACAAACGACGGCGCCCACAATACTGTTTATACTCTGACGCGTCTGGCAGGCTCTACCGTGTTCGCTTGACATGCCCCGATGGCACCGTCCTGCAGGTGCGCAGGGCATGGCAGGGTACAGTCCTCGGTATTGCGGTTGACTTAAGCGTCTTAACTTATCTGCTCCGCCTGCTCCCCAGGCCCACACCGAGCGAGCGTCCCCGGTCATTTGGTCCCGACCGTGTCAGTCGGGAAAGAGCAACGAGCAGAGGTCCAGCGTATTCTCGGTCGGAGAAAGGGGTTGGAGTCAGACTGTAGTCCCACCTTGGTCACGCCTTTCGGTCGGGGACCGGATCGTTGTCTCGGCCTATCATTATGTATCTGGACCGGCCCAGACGTGTGCTGTCACTGTGCCACCGGCTGGGCCGGATTTTATAGGGAAGCGGGTCCATTGGGGATCCTAGGTTTATGAACCCAACAGCTATGGTATTCATGCCGATGTATAATTTTTTTTAAGTGTGACTAGGTTTATAGAAAATATTATCAATATTTGTATCTTTAAATAAATTAATAATGAAAAATAGATCCAAAGATCTATCTAATGATACAATTCATGTACTATAAATATTTATATTATATATATATATTTGGTCAAAGTTGAAAAGTTTGACTTTTTGAAAAGCGAGAATGACACTTACTCTCTCTATCTCTAAATATCTATCATTTTTTTGTTTCTGTGCCGTAAGTTTGACTTGATTTGTAAAAAATATTAGCAACATTTGTTTCTCTAAATAAATTTATTATGAAAATCTATTCAAAGATGTATCTAACGATGTAAATTATATATTATAAATATTAATATTTTTTATAAAAAATAGTCAAAATTATTTTTTAAAAGTGAAAACGACAATTAAAAGGGACGGAAGGAGTATTTTAGGAATGAGCGAGTACTCACTTATTCAGCGGCCCTTCTAACAATAGAATTGGTCTATGCGGGATGCGGCACAAACATTAATAAAAGCAACTTGCCGCACAAAATGTAATTAGCAAGGTGTCAAGTTACAAGCTGTCCCAACTTCGCCCCTGTTTGGTTTATGAGGCTAAAGTTTAGCCCACTCCTTTTAACTACTTTTTAGCCCTTATGAATCTAAACAGGTTGGCTAAAAGTAGGGACTAAATTTTAGCCTACCCCTTTTCTATTAGCCCCTCCAAGGTGGGATAAAGAGGATTAAAAGTGGTCACTTCATGGCAAAAGACACATATTATCCTCATCTAACCCTTTTAGTCCTGTATTGCTAATCTTTAGCCCGGATCAAACAACTTCATGGGCTAAACTTTAACTCCTTCATTCTAAGGACTAATTTTAAGCACTGGGCTAAAGTTTAGGGCCTGTTAAGTTCAAACTTGCTAAATTTTAGTCAGCTAAATCAACTGCTAAACTTTAGTTACTCCTGTTTGATTTGGTGGACTAAAAGAGACTAAATCTGACACATGATGTGTAGGATGAGCAAAACACCCATAGGAGGACAGAGGGAGCTCGCTGACGCCGGGCTCTTCACTGGATCCGTCTAGTCGCCATGGACGCTCGGCACCCACGAAGCTGCACATCCTGCCCTCTGCCGCGCTCGACGACGCTGGCACCACCTCGCCCGCCGCCGCCTCCTCGTCCGCGCGGCCGTGGATCTGTAAGAAGACGGAAGGAAGGGCGGCAGCTACGGGAGAGGAACTGCCATGGACGCCGGCGAGAGGAAGCGCCATGGACGCCGCCCCGACACCGCAGTGGGAGCGCGCGCGAGGGCGCCACGCTCTACCTGTCGTCGTGGCCCTGGTCGAGCGCCACCGCCACCGCGTGGAGGACGCGGAGAGGGGCGAGGGGCGAGGGACGAGGAGCCAGAGAGGTCGTGAAATAAGTCTTATATTTTGGATAACGGTTGTTGGAGATAGTCTTAGCCTCATGGCCAGCTGGTTGCGCTCTTGCGGTCCTTTCTGCCATGGCGGGGGTCGGCGAGTTGCTCGCCTCAACGGCATTGAAGCACGTCTCCGGCATGCTAGGTACCACCATCTGGAAGGCCATCGCCTCGCAGCTGAAGCTCGGTGATGATCTGAACGTCCTTAAGGATACTGTGGATAGCATCCATGAAGGCATGGTTAAGTTGGAGAAGAGGCTGATGAAAGATGGTGACGTCTGTGTATGGATGAGGGAGCTCAAGGCCAGCCTATGACATGGAAGACATGATAATGGAATTTGAAGGCGATATTCTGAGACATAGAGATGGCTCCAAGTCCCAGAGTAACAACTATACAACAGTAGGTTTCCGATCCGGTGCTTTTTTATGCCCATATTTCCGTTACCATTTACTTCCAGTGTGGTAAATTATAAGATGTTTTGGCTTTTTTAATATATTTCTTATACTACATATCTTGACATAGTGTCACTACTGGAAACAGAGACTTTGCCGAGTGCAAAATTCTTTGCCGAGTGTCAAAAATCGGGCACTCGGCAAAGACCTTCTTTGCCAGAGTGCTGCACTCGGCAAAGAATTGCACTCGGCAAAGATTTCTTTGCCGAGTGTCGGCAACTCGGCAAACACGGGCACTCGGCAACGGACTTCTTTGCCGAGTGCCAGACTCTCGGCAAAATCTCTACACTCGGCATAGGCTGCCCGTGAAACGGCGTCCTGTCACGGCCTTCTTTGCCGAGCGCCTGCGGTTAGACACTCGGCAAAGATTTGTTTTTTTTCATTTCTTTGCCGAGTGCCCCAGATCTGGCACTCGGCAAAGATTTAAATTTTTTTTAAAAAAAATTCTTTGCCGAGCGTCTCAGATATCACATGTGGAGATGTCCTGGTTTGTAAGCATCGTACATGACAACATGCACGAAATCTTCTGAAATTTTTATCATAGCCTGCACATATGATATCACGACATCTCAACAAGTTTCATGATTTTCGGACTTCGTTTGTTTTTTATAGAATTTATAAACACTTCACACGCAATTTCGCGGACATGTTTCGTGAACAAGATGTCCGAAATTTCAGGTCCGTTCCTAGATACGGCCTCTCACAACACTCACTAACATGCCTATCAATTTTCGAATCATTAAACTCCATTATTCGTACCACGTGTAGTTCAAATTTCTAATTTTCGGAAAAATTCAAGTAAATGAAATAAAGTAACTAAATATAACAAAAAGCCACAAAAAATCCCCAAATTGTAACTAGGAGTTCCTGGTGCTTTAAAAAGGCTGCACAAAAAAATTGGAGACCAAAAACAAAAAAACAAAAAAACTTTGCGGAGTGCCCGGGCATGGTACTCGGCAAAGAGTGTCTTTGCCGAGTGCCAGCCATCAAGCACTCGGCAAAGAATGTTTTTTTTTTTTTTAAATTTCCTCTTTGCCGAGTGCATCCACAGGAGCACTCGACAAAGAAATAATAAAAATTTAAATCTTTGCCGAGTGCCGTCTAGGGGGCACTCGGCAAAGTATTTTAAAAAAAAAAAAATTCTTTGCCGAGCGCCAGATCTGAGACGCTCGGCAAAGAATTTTTTTAAAAAAAAATTTAAATCTTTGCCAAGTGCTAGATCTAGGGCACTCGGCAAAGAAATTAAAAACAAAAAAAAAATCTTTGCCGAGTGCCTCCCTGATCCGGCACTCGGCAAAGCCGCGGACTTAGCGGTTTTGACGATCAGGCGATCCTGACCCACCACCCAGCCACGCCCGCCCCGCCCGCCTCCGCCGCGCCACGCGCCCACCGCCCTTCGCCCGCGCCCCGGCCGCCACATGCGCCGCGCCTACCGCCTCGCGCCTTGCGCCACGCTGCCCCCGCCCCACCTGCATGTGCCCCTGGCCTCTTCCCCACTGGCCAGCCCTTCCCCGATCGCGCGCTTGCCCCTGGCCGCCGCCATGTGTGCCCCGGTAGCCCTTCCCGGCCGGTGCATACCGACCCTGCGCCCTGCGCCCTGCCATGCCATTTTTCTGCCTTGCCTCGCTTCAAGGCGCCCGTGGACCACCCGCCCCGACGCCATCCGTGCTCGACCCCGTCCCCGACTCCGCCCGATCCCGACGCCGCCCGCCCCTACCCCGTCGCCCGTCAGGTATGCCTTCTCACTTATTATTGTCGAGGTAGTGGTAGTTGTAGTAGCATTAGTTGTACTAGTGGTAGTATTAGTACAACTAGTGGTAGTATTAGTAGTAGAATTAGTGGTAGTAGTAGTAAAAGTAGTGGTAGTAGTAGTAGTACAACTAATGGTAGTAGTTGTAGCAATAGTGGTAGTAGAAGAAGAACCAATGGTAGTAGTAGTAGCAATAGTGAAAGAAGTAGTACAAGTAGTGGTACTACTTGGATATATTCTTCTTCATGGATTGATATCCAAACTACATGGCTTTTGTTGAGCCATATGTGCTTGTCGGCCATCGTGCCGTTGTTTTTTGCAGGTTTTGGAAACCTCACCGTGCAGGGGAGGTTCTGCCGAATTTTTTTGTAAATGACAGTATTTTGTTCCATTTTTGTAGAGAAGAGCCCGTCAGAGTTGAGTCGGAGTTCTCGCCACCGTGTCGGTCTGCCTGCACCGTGTCGTCTCGCCACTGCACCGACCCGCCATGGCCCCGCTAGCCTGACTCCATCGCCACCCTAGGTATAACCCCTCTTTTCGTATCATTGTCGTAGATCGCGTAACCCAGTTAGGCGTCTCCCGTTCGAAAGAGATACGGTTGGAGGTATGCAGATCTTTGCATATCTATGACCGTATCTATTTCGGATTGTCCACGCTTTTTGGACAGCCCGCGGATGCGTAGATGGGTTAGTTTCCATGTTCTGCTCTAGTCCGAGACAGAGTTTCGGCATCACCTCCCTGTTGTTCTCCAGATACACACTCTTCTTTGACAGGACGTGTATCTGGAGAACAGCGGGGAGGTGCTGCCGAAATTCTGTCTCGGATAGGAGTAGAGCATGAAAACTAACCTCATCTACGCATCTGCGGGTAAGATTAGGACCTATCCTCACCTATTAGACAGTAGGAACACCATGCAGATGCAATTGATGGTTACATTACTCGCCGATACATATGTTAGAGGATGGATGACCGTCAGTGGATGTACACGGGCTGGAGAAGTCAGAGTGATTACACCACAGAATGGATGAACAAGACCGATGCTTTCTTAAACAGTGCATTTGGCAACGCTGCTAAAGGACATTGCCTAGTTTTGTGTCCCTGCAGCAAATGTGGAAACAGGAGAAGGGTAAACAAGGTGGAAATGGGTAAACATCTTGTGAAGAATGGATTTACGCCGGACTACACCCGATGGGTCCACCATGGTGAAGCCCATCGTATGAGAGAGGAGGTGGTGAGACCACGGGTGGAGGCTTTTGATGCTGATGCCGGGGTAGCAGACATGTTAGATGACTTTCATCAAGGACAGTTCGATGAGGGACGTGAGAAGGAGGAGATGGAAGCAGCCGCACAGGCGTTCTATGATATGATGGACTCGGCACAGAAACCCCTTCACGATCGGTGAACGGTGTCTCAACTGGATGCCATTGGACGCTTAATGGGGTTGAAGTCCGAGTTAAACTTAAGTCGACCTGGCTTCGATAAGATGTTGGCCGTGATTGGCACCTTGCTTCCGGAGGGCCACATTCTGCCGAAGAGCATGTACGAGTCACAGAAACTCCTTCGAGCACTTAAGATGCCGTATGAGCAGATACATGCTTGTCCGAAAGGGTGCCTCCTATTTAGGAAAGAACACGAGCATGCAAAGTTCTGTCCAAAGTGTAAATCCTCCAGGTACATGGAGGTAGACTCTGATGATGGCCAGAAGAGGCAACTTACGATCCCCATGAAAATCCTACGGTACCTTCCGTTCCTACCGAGAATCCAACGGCTATACATGACCGAGGAATCCGCGAAACAGATGACATGGCACAAAAATGGCAAATGGTACAATCCTAACAAGATGGTACATCCATCCGATGGTGAAGCTTGGATCCGCTTTAATGACAAACATCGTGACAAAGCAGATGAGGCTCGTAATGTACGTGTCGCGTTGGCAACAGATGGGTTCAATCCTTATGGAATGATGGATGCCCCATACACATGTTGGCCCATCTTTGTTATCCCCCTTAATCTCCCCCCCGGTGTCTCCTTTCAATGACATAACGTATTCTTGTCGTTGATAATTCCTGGACACCCAGGGAGTAATATGGGTGTGTTCATGGAGCCCGTGTTTGATGAATTGGTCCGTGCTTGGGATGAAGGGGTATGGACATACGATCGAGCTACAAAGACAACCTTCAAAATGCACGTTTGGTACCACTACTCCCTGCATGACTTCCTGGCGTATGGGATATTCTGCGCCTGGTGTGTTCACGGGAAGTTCCCATGTCCAATATGCAAGGAAGGTGTGAGGTTTATTTGGTTGCAGAAGGGTGACAAGTATTCGTCGTTTGATAGACATCGTCAATTCCTACCTCTTGACCATCCATTCAGACAAGACATCAAGAACTTTACGAAAGGCGTCAAAGTGACAAACCCTACACCGCGGATGATGAATGGTGCCGAGGTTCATGCTCAGATAGGTGCTCTCATGCCCAATGAAGAAGGTGGTTTTGTGGGATATGGTGAGCAGCATATGTGGACTCATATCTCGGGCATGACGAGGCTCCCCTATTTCGATGACCTTTTTCTACCACATAACATTGATGTAATGCACACTGAAAAGAATATCGCCGAGGCACTTTGGGCAACACTCATGGACACTGAAAAGTCTAAGGACAACCCAAAGGCTAGAGTAGACCTGGCAACGTTGTGCGATAGACCAAATCAAGAGATGCAACCTCCTAGTCGTGGCAAGACCTGGAGAAGGCCTAAGGCTGATTTTGTCTTAAAAAAGGACCAAAGGAGGGAAGTACTTGAATGGATCAAGAAGCTAATGTTCTCGATGGGTATGCAAATGAATCTAAAGAGGGGAGTTAACTTAGGCACTCTGCGAGTCAACGGGATGAAGAGTCATGACTACCACATATGGATTGAGCGGCTTCTTCGGCGATGGTTCGAGGCTATGTCCCGAAGCATGTCCGCAAGAAATCTTGTGAGTTGAGCTACTTCTTCCGCCAGCTTTGTGCCAAGGAGCTCTCTCGGACCATCATTGATGACTTGGAAAAAGCGGCACCCGTGTTGCTCTGTAAGTTAGAGAAGATCTTTCCACCCGCCTGCTTCTTGTCGATGCAGCATTTGATTGTGCACCTCCCGTATGAGGCACGGATGGGGGGGCCCGTGCAGAACCGTTGGTGCTATCCAATCGAGAGATGTCTGAAGACTCTTCGCAAAAAATGTAGAAATAAAGCCAGAATTGAGGCTTCCATTGCAGAGGCATACATTCTAGAGGAGGTGTCGAACTTCACAGAGAAATACTACACTGAGAAACTTCCTAACGTTCATAATCCACCCCCTCGTTACAATGCTGGCGAAAATGAATCGAACCTCAGCCTTTTCCAAGGGCAACTTGGAAGCGCAAGTGCATCGACCACTAAGCAATTGAAAAATGAAGAGTGGCGCAGTATCATGCTATACGTGTTGACCAACCTTGTCGAGGTGCAACCGTTCATTCGGTATGTTCTAAACGAACTTGTTTCATTTTGCCGTATGTCCTTGTTTCGTCGTCCAACCCCCTTGTTTCTCGTTGGTACAGGGAATTTCTTCGTCAATCCTAGCATGGATCAAGGCAACCTACCCCGCAAGAAAATGATACCCTTCTTTTACGGGGTGCGGGACCAGGGAGCCCCGATTTCATTTGTTGGTTCAAACAGAAAGCCCAAACTGATGCGCCTATAAGTGATGAGTTAAGACAGGTTGCAAATGGCTGTGCCGTTAGGGTCAAGTCATTTACCGATTATGACGTGAGTGGATATCGTTTTCACACAGCAAGCTACGAGCATAGTCGGCCCAATCGACAAACCACAAACAGCGGAGTTGTTACGCCCGGCACTGATGGACTCGACTATTATGGAAGAATTGAAGAAATCTATGAACTATCATTTTATGGTTCCAAACCTCTTACTCCTGTCATATTCAAATGCCACTGGTTTCATCCTGGTGTAACGAGACGGACCCCTAAGCTTGGGCTAGTCGAGATTCGACAGGATTCCGTCTATCCAGGAAAAGATGTCTACATTGTGGCTCAACAGGCCGTCCAGGTTTATTATACGTCATACGCGTGCAAAGACGCCGAGCATCTTAAGGGTTGGTCTATTGTGCATAAGGTATCGCCACACGGTAAACTACCTGTCCCAAACGATGAAGATTACAACTTCAACCCAAACACATATGATGGAGAGTTCTATCAAGAAGAGGGGCTACAAGGGAGGTTTGACATAGACTTAACCGAAGAGATAGGAATGGAAGTAGATAATGAAAGGGATGATGACGAGGACGCTGGAGACGAGGTGCGAAATCTGAAGGACATACAAATGCTTGAGCGATTACATTTCGGCAATGACAATGAAGACAACATTCCTCCTTCGGATAGTGTTGATGAGTTGGACAATGTTGATAGTGATGACGAGACCTATGATCCAGCTAATTTCAATCATGAAGATTATTTCTAATACATGTAATATTATGTTTTTTGTAATTATGTTTTGTTCATTTTTGCATATATTTCTAATACATGTAATACTATGTTTTTTGTAATTATGTTTTGTTTATTTTTGCACCTATTTCTAATTACGTCTTGTTTTTTTTATTGCAGGTGATTGAACAAAGATGGCGGGCGACCGTCATAGGTCTATGAACTCGATTTACCAAAGACCACGTCGGTCGCAGGAGGGGGTGGAGGGGGCGGCAGAGGGATCGAACAGGAGGAGGAGGACCGCTAGCCGCAGGAGGGAGCCGTCTCCTCCCACGCCACGTGAGGAGGACCACCAGCCGCAAGAGGAGGTGGCACCCGTGGACGAGTCAGACGAGGAGTTGGTTCGGCAGACGGAGGAGGAGGAGGAGGAGGAGGAGGAGGAGGGGGGAGGCGGCAGGCACAGGTTCCGCTTCCTCCAACTCCTCTTCGAGTGTCTACTTGCGAGGTCCCGCGAGCCTCCCACAGGTTCTGCTTCCTCACCAATGCCCAGTGATTCGCCCCGAAGGACAAAAGTAAGTAACTGTATATGTTATCACCACTACTTCATATGATATGATGAAAAAAACTAATAATTTTTCTTAATTACTTGTGCAGGAACTGGGTGGTTGTGTCGGGTGGTAGCGCACGGCTAGTCAACGGCATCCTGGGTCTTCTGTGCAGGCAGCACTTCCCCGGCATTGTCACGTACGCATCGAAGACGGAGCCGGCCTACTCGTTTGACCACTACGTCGTCGCCTCCGATGCGGAGTACCCCAACAAGGCGGCGCGGGTGAAGGCAGAGTTTTGGATAAGTCTCCCTTGCACAACATTGCTCATCGACACGGCCTCTACTCCCTCTCTCTCCCAGATCCGAGCACGGAGCACGAGCGAGAGCCCGGCCATTCGCACACGGCCGACCGCTGCATAGCACCGGGTCGACGCACTCGAGGTTATTCCTGTTTTACTCGTCATACATTGATCTTTACACACCTTAATTAGCTTTGCATTGAAACATTGGAGTGAAATATTGCAGGCCCGGCTGGAACAAGAAATGAAGGAACGTCAGGAGCTGGGGGCCTAGTTGGAGGCCGAGCGGGCCGAGCGGCAGCCCAGCGCAGAGGCTGATGGACATTACGGATTTCCTACAAGGGCTTGGGCAACGTATGGGCTTGTCTCTGCCACCTGGGCTGTTGGTTCCACCTCCGCCTCCAGCGTCCTGCGCAGCCTGCAGCTACTCCCTGTGAGTATCAAAGTTTTTTACTTTCACTTGTGCTTTGCTTGTATGGCCTCTATCGTCCTAGATTAGCTATCAAAATAATCTTGTCTCACATGTAATCTTTTCTCCTTTGTGCAGCCTCCATCTGACGGTGGTTCGAATAATCCACCTCATGCACCTACGAATGATGCATCTGGGCCTTCACCACAGTCGCAGTGGCCGAGATGAGTGCATGTTGTATTTTTTACATTTGTTGTTCACTTGGTGATGGACTTGTGATATACTTGTGATGCACTTGTGGACTTTGATGGACTTGTAAACTTATTTGGATGGACTTGAGCACTTATTATTATATATTGTGATGGATGTGATATGAGCGGATGGATGAGATATATATGTGATGGATGAGATATATATGCGATGGATGAGATATATATGCGATGGATGAGATATATATGTGATATATGTTTGTATGAATGTATTTGTCATGATGGAATGAAAAAAAAAATTTGTCGTTTTGGGTCACTTTGCCGAGTGTTGCACTCAACAAAGGACCCCTTTGCCGAGCGCAATGGTCACAACACTCGGCAAAGCTGGCAAAATGGGCGACCAGAAAACAGATTTTCCAGCTTTGCCGAGTGCTGTGACTATAACACTCGGCAAAGAAATTTAAAAAAAAATTAAACTTTGCCGAGTGCCTGCCGTGTTGACACTCGGCAAAGAGTTTTTAAAAAAAAATCTTTGCTGAGTGCTTAGAGGGGTGGCACTCGGCAAAGAAAATTTTCAAAAAAAAATAAAAGCTCTTTGTCAAGTACCTTCCGGGTTGGCGGGCTACAGGCCCCTGCCTCGAAGAAGGTATCGTTGGGAGGGACAAAGACAAGGCGGAGTTGATGAAGCTGCTGCAAGAAGATTGCAAGCACGCCATCATCCCTATCTATGGCTTCGGTGGTTTGGGTAAAACAACTTTAGCCCAAATGGTTTTCGATGACAGTACAACTAAGAGAGATTTTGATATCTGCGTCTGGGTTTATGTCTCCACAAAATTTAGCAATGAAAAGATTGGTCGATCAATCATCTCCCAAGTAGATGGACAGGGCAACCAGTATGACTTGCCCTCCGTGCAGAAGCGCGTGGAGATGATCCTAAGTGGAAAGAAGTATCTCGTCGTTTTGGATGACTTGTGGCAAGAAAACACAAGCAACTTGAACCAGTTAAAAGCAATGCTGAAAGGTGGCGCACCAGGTAGTAAGATAATTGTGACAACTCGAAGCGAACAGGTTGCTAAGCAGATGAATCGAGAGTTGCCATTCAAGTTGGATGCATTACCATATGATGACTGTTTGAAGCTATTCAAAGATAAAGCGTTCCCAAATGGATCTGAAGAATCTGATGCATTCGTAAAGGTCGGCGAGAAAATAGTACAGAAGTGCGGCGGCGTACCGTTGGCAGTCAAATCCCTTGGGGACCGTCTGCTAGATATGCCGTTGCACAAGTGGGAAGAGACGCTCAAGAGTGAGCTGTGGGAAGGCGAACGTGATCCAACGACCGCGACAGCTGCAACTGAAGTGCTGCCATCCTTGAAGATTAGTTACTCTTACATGCCTTATTATCTGAGGCCTTGTTTTGTATACTTTTCTGCCTTCCCAAAAGGCTTCGTCGTAGAGAAGAGAGACCTGATTCACAGGTGGATTGCCCTGGGATTTGTTTCAACCGCTGATCGTGCTGAGGAATACCTGCAAGAACTTCGTCAGATGTCATTCCTAGAGGCTACGAGCGCCTCTACCTCTGTGAGTTATATGCATACATACACACAGGCTTAGCACACTTACTCTTTTTTCCTTGTATTATATTGTGCTATCATTTAGTATATGATTTATTAGTATTTCAATCTTATTTCAAAATGTATGGTGCTCACCTAAAACTAATTCAATCTAGTATTATGTGTTTTGAGGAATAAGACAGCAATGAATCATCTGACTATAGTTTTGAAAAATAATCCACTTCTTTCTTTGGCGAATAGAATGTGTTAAACCATCACATTTCTCATAACCACATCAATTTCCAGTGTAAAATTCATGAAATGGTCCCAAGAAGAATCATTCAAACATGTATGACTGATTTCTCAGTTTTTTAAAACAACTCCAGCATGGTCCTTATCCTACTTTTGAGGGCCGAGAGGGAAAAAAACCCCACTCTACTGAGGTCCACATTCTAAGTCTGGAGGGGGGCCCTACTTTTTGTTGGAGTAGTTTCCCCACCGTGCGGCGCCCTACCACGGCACCTCGTGACGCCCATCCCCAGCACGGCGGCGACCCCTATGCGATGCCCCTCTCCGACGTGGGTACCTCTCCCTGGTGCGGAGCCCCTCCCTGGTGTGTCGGCTCTCTCCGGTGCGGAGCCCCTCCCTGCCATGGCGTGCGTGGTGACACGTTAACACGGGCAGGCTCTAGCACAGCGCCCCTTCCCAATCGCCCCACCCCGCTGCCGGAGCCCCTCCCCCGCTAATACTAGCATGCCCATGTCCATCAACGGGGAAGAAGATAGGAAAGAGAATGACAAGTGGGTCATATATGTCATTCTTTGTTAGATGGAATTTGAGGACCTTGTTTTGAGGACTCCTACTGGAGTGCAGCGTAGATAACAGGTCCGTCAAAAGTAGGGGGTGCCCTCAAATTTAAAGTAAGGGACATGTTTTGAGGGCTACCGATAGAGTGCTCTAACACCATATAAATGTTAACAATGGCCACCATGCTAGTTCATACATGTCACGCCCGGTAGACTTTCAGAAGGGGTACATTTTGAAAAATCGAGAGAGGTCTCCCGTCATAATCATCAGTGGACAAACAAGTACTTGACACGTCGGCGACTAACACCTTGCCAACTTTAATCAAAGATTAGAATTGCAATCTTTTAGGGGCCCAGAAAGGAAATCAGAAAACTCAATATTAACTGTACCAATGCATGTATAGTGTGAAATTAAAGTTATAATATATTTACAAGTAAGTATTTTTTGTACTTTGCAATGGGAACAAATTTATCATGATTGTTTTTAAATTTGATACAGGCTTAATAGGGTATTGTCATATTAGTGCCAACATTAGCTTATATTATGGATCTCGTATTCATCATTAAATAAACTACAGCTTTAAAATTTTATAGATAAAGGTAAAACATAAATAGACATGTATCATTCGTATTCTCGTTTCCCATAAATGTTTGGTAGCTTCAAAGGACCGAGAAAGACAACCAGGAGGGCCAATGGGAGCCAATCCAAAATTTATTCTGAAATGACCGCCCTCCCAAACAACCCTCCAAAACACCAAATCTCACAAGTGAGATGACCTTGAGCCAACTAGTGACCGGATGCCCTCCGGGATGACCAGAGAACACAGCGGGACACTCAATAGTGGAAAACCAAGAGCTTGACCGAAGTTCACCGAAAAGCAAAAGCAAGGCTCTCAACTCCAACTGATCGGAAGCAAGAGTTCACAGCTAAATCACCCTAGCCAACTGGTGGCTTGATGATTTTTTTGGGAAACTTCCTGGGAACCTCGATGTTGGCCTAGCAGGGATGCGGGTGCACTGATGTACCTCACGGTGCTGCGACTGGACCTCACGTTCGTGGTCCAGCAAAGCTTGCTTGCACATGCACGATACGCGAGCGCTGCATATGACCCTACTCAAGCGGATTCTTCGCTACGTCTGCGAGACGACGTCGCTTGGCCTCCACCTACGCGCGTTCATCGACCTCTTCATCATGGCCTACTCCGACGCCGACTGGGCGTGTTGCCCGGACACTCGGCGTTCTACATCCGGTTTCTATGTGTTCCTCGGTGAGTCGCTTGTCTCTTGGTCCTCCAAGCGATAGCCGGCCGTGTCCCGCTCCAGCGCCGAGGCTGAATACCAGGCGGTGGAGAACGCGGCAGCTGAGTGCATCTGGCTCCGGCATCTGCTCGGCGAGCTCCATTGCGCCATCTCGAAGGCTACGGTGGCATACTGCGACAGCGTCTCTGCGGTGTGCATGTCCTGCAACCCCATACACCACAAGCACACCAAGCACATCGAGCTCGACATCCACTTCGTCCGGCAATGCGTCCAGCTCGGCGATCTCCATGTGCTCCATGTTCCGACCAGCGAACAATACGCAAACATCATGACAAAGGGGCTTCCTACGACGACGTTTGAAGCTTTTCGGTCCAGCGTTGTTCCAATCACACGCCAGACTGCGGGGGTGTTGAGGAGATGTCCCTGGATTGTGGCTTCGCCAACCGCCAAGACCGTGGGCGCGGTCGCCCGCTCCCCACGACGCACATGTTGTGCGCTAGATAGGATCGGTTGCTCATTGTGCAACCTCTGTTGTACCATATATATTCTTTGAGATCAATACAGAATTGTGTTGGCTCCCAATTCTCCTCTCTACAGATATGTATCATTCTGATGCTCGTTTACCGCGAATATTTGATAGCTTTTTTTTTCTCCGGTCAAAACACACTGGCATATTCGCTAGTTAGCTCATAATAGTAGCCCATTCCATTGTGCACAGTAGATGTGTAATTTTTTTCTGAAATATTACGATTTTATATGGAAGGTGACAATATACAATCCTGTGATGTTTTAATTCTAAATATTACGATTTTATATGCAAGATGTGAATTTCGCATGCTCTTATTTTACTCTCTTTTTTTCCTTTTGAGGTACCGTTGAACCTTGGAAATAAAAATAATCTGTTGCATCGCTAATTGAGCTGCAAATTTGCATTTCAGGTTTCTGCAGGATACTCCAAGCCCAACACTCATGACTTATTATTCAAAATGCACGATTTAGTCCATGAACTTGCAAGGTCAGTTGCTGTTGAAGAAGTAGCCATTTGTGATGCCAATCATGGAAGCTCCGGTGCTAAAAGGGACATATGTCGGTACATGTTGTTCTCGAATTTCAAAGATGGATACCTAAAATGCAAAGATATGCCTTTGAAGGCAAGAGCTGTTCATTTTAGTGACTGCACAGGATGTCAGCCTTCAAGGGATGCCTTTTCAGAAACTAAATGGTTGCGTGTCTTGGACTTGTCAAGCATGCAAACTGTGGAGCTACCCAGGTCTATGAGAAACCTGCATCACCTGCAAGTATTAAATCTTTCAGAAAACACCAGTCTTGTAAAGCTCCATAGCTCCTTCTTTGGAAAAGCAAAGCTCCATAGTCCCACTTCCATCTGTGACTTTCAGAAGCTACGCTATTTGGATATACATGGCTGCTCAAATCTTAGAGAGCTGCCAGATAACATTCACATACTCCAAGATCTGGAACACCTTGATCTATCAGGATGTACCAGCCTACAGAAGCTGCCTTCACGATTTGGAGAGCTGCAAATGCTTTCATTCCTGAACTTATCATGTTCACAACTTGAGATGCTACCAAACACTTTCAGTCAACTGGAAAATTTGGAATATCTGAATCTGTCCTTCTGCTCCAAGCTTAAGCACCTGCATACTCTGTCATTCAAGAGAATGAAGGGACTTCTTTATCTTAATATGTCTGCTTGTACCTGGCTTGAGGCGCTCCCCGAGTTTTACAGCAACAATGATGGCTGCCTGAACCTGGAGATTTTGGATTAATCTGATTGTGATAGGCTTATTGACCTTTCCGAATCTTGTGCCAGACTAAATAAACTCCGGTTCCTCAGCTTATCTGGCTGCTCTCGCATTCAGAACATTATTCGCTTTCTTGGCAAATTTGTGAAGTTGGAGTACCTAAACCTATCAGGTGTTCCATTATCAGGATTTGATGTAAGAAAAGATTCTGAAGCTCCAAGCTCATCTACAGGGCATCCCTCAGGTTATTCTGGTGAGGACTTGAGCCTGAAAATGCTCAATGGGATAATTAAAAGAATGCCTCGTCTTGAGTATCTGTCGGCAGGAGGGCTGTCACTGTTCTCAAAAGAAGGCATTTCTGAGGACTTCCTAACCTTGCCGGATTTTGTTTTCTCAACAAGAAGCAGTGGCAACTCCAGCAATATTACTCTTCTTCAGAACATCCTCGATCCAACACACCGTGAACTTAATATCAGATGCCTTGAGGCTGTGATATCTGCGGAAGAAGCAGCGATGATCGAACTGGGCAGGAAACATCGGCTTGCTTCTTTGAGTCTGGAGTGGTCCTCATCAGAATGGTATACACCACGTGAACCTACAGTAAAGACAATGGCTGTTCTCGAACACCTGCAGCCTCATCGAAATTTAAAGCATCTCGCTATAAAGGGCTACAACCACAGTACGTTTCCTCGTTGGATTATGGGGATACATTATACGCTCCCAAATCTGGTGAAACTTGTGTTGTCTGATCTTGTATGGTGTGATCATCTTCCTACTCCAGCAAATCTATCAAGTATAGAAGAGCTTGAAATTCGAAATATGCCCAGACTTAAGGGAGCATGTTTGGCGCCCTGCAAAAATATAAAGCGGCTGTCGCTGGTTGCACTAGCAAGTGGATTCACCTTGGGGTTTACTCAGGAGACAAGCAGAGATTATCAGGGGATACATGAAATGGAATCAGGTCATGCAGAAGAGCCTAAGACGCCAGAAGTAGCTAGGACACAGTCTGGTAATCCTTCTCAAGAGAATAGAGAAACAGAGCGTGCAGTAATGAAAGGGAATATGAGGGGAAATGCAGGTGTAAGCAGATTGTTAGCTGCTCTAGGCTTTCAAAGGAAAGAACAGATGTCAGAAGTGGGTGCATCTTCGTCGGCACCGTCTGCAACCAAAGAAGCAGTCCCTACCCTTTGCTGTCTGAAGATTGAATACTGCCAAGATCTGAAGCTGTATCCGAGCATCAACTGTGAGGAGTACTTCATCAACAACAGTATAGTTGATTCATCACAGACATGGGGTCATCAGCTCCCATATTGGCACGTAAGATGCATTTCAAAAACTGTTCATATCCTACTGCTATGTTGCTACAGCATGTGCATATCAGGACCGATGAACCAGTCGTTGATGGTTGTGACAAGGAATTTTTGAAATACTTAGAATTCAGGGTCATCCAGAAACTGAAGATAATAAACTCTGTGGTATTTGGTCTTAAATTTCTGCCGTGCATTCCATCACTACAGGAGCTTGAAATTTTTTGCAGACTGTGCGTGCCGCACACGGATGTACCGCAGCATCTTGATTGCATCAACGAGATTCGTACATGAAATAGAATGGCTAAACGGAAAATTCTACGAATGCCTGAATTGGAGAAAATTACTTTAGCATCACATGAGAATTGCTCGTACACAGACCTAGTGGAAGCCGGATTATTGGATATTCCTCACATTCAATATATCAAGATTAATGAGGTAATTTATCTTGGCTAGTTGCAGTCTTTTCGCTTCTGCCACTCTAAAAGACCTATTTTCCTCTCCCTCCTTTCTAACCTAGCTTAACTTTGTTAGTCTTGTTTCTGCTTGTACAGTAGCTTCCTGGTTCCCCTTTGTACAGTGGTGTTGTTCTTTTTGTTTTGTTCTTTCTAATAATAAAATCCTCACAGTGGGGGTCTCCCCGGCTGTATTTAAAGTTCAAAAAAAATTATCTTGGCCATGCTCGGTTCTCATCTTTTAGGGAAAAAATAAGGCTTCAAAAGTAGGAAAGGTGTATACCTGAGTACACAATCTCTCTATTTTTTTGGTCGCATATATATGCATGCACACTCACCCCTATGTTGTTAATTTCTTGGGAAGTGAGAATAACACTTCTATGCGACGGAGGGAGTACGGTACATTCTTGCGTTGGGTGAAAAAAAACGATAGGTTGGTTCGCATCTGCTGGCGTGCACGACATGACGACGCTGCCGTCTGGCGCATTCCCTGCCCCTGAGTGCATCCCACCTCCATGCGCATCCCTGCTACCGTTCCCGCACCTTCCGTGTGCGGATATATTCTTTTTTCTGTTCTCTTGCTGTTGATAACGGTCTAACTGTGCATCTTACCTTCACAGGTAATATATTTAGCTGATTTTCACCTTCTCCATCAAAATAGAGACTTTGGAATCACGGAGCTATGTCTTACAAACCTCCAGCTTGTGAAGAAAGCCAATGAAGTTGACCCTGGAGATTTGGGCAGATATGACCAGCTCCGCAGGTTGAGTTTGAGGTGGTCCGGCCAACCTGACGATCAGGCTGATACTGACGATTCTGCAGTTCTCCAAAGACTCCAGCCTCATGCGAACCTATCAGCGCTTGACATAAGAGGTTATCAGGGTGCCACATTTTGTGCATGGATGAGCAATGCCAATCTCTATGTTCCAAATCTTATGAAGATTGAGCTGGTTGGTATGCCAAGATGTGATCGTCTCCCGTCACTAGGTCAGCTAGCACATCTGGAAGAACTGCACATTTCAGATATGCCTAATATCCGAGAAGTGGATAGTTGTTTTTACGGAGGCAAGCACCCATTCCGGAAACTGAGGGAACTTCATATTGGTGGGATGGAAAATTTGGAGGTGTGGTCCACGAATTTGGAGCGGTCTGCTGGACAAATGTCTTGGAATGACGACGAACAGCAATTGCAAGGAGAAATATTTCCTTCACTTTTTTTTATTTTTTTAGATTAAGGAACAAATGTATTCCGGTCTCCCACATTCACAATCGAATGGGTACAACCAAACTGAGCCAATACAAAACCATGGTCTAAGACCAAAGACTGCTAAGCAGACTAACCCCAGCTCCAGAGTACTGATAACCAAACATCCCTCGCCGTGTCTAAACACAGCTCAAAGTATTCAGCCAAACCACAGACTGGTAAACAGCTAAGCCCCAACTCCGAACTGTACCTAAACTGACAACACTCATAGTGTCCAACACACTAGCACTCAAGATACAGCAAAAAGAATCTAGTTCTCTAAACTCTTGTGTTGCTTCCACACTAAACTTCTGAAGATTTCTCATCATCATTTCAAACTTCATGCATACAAACTTCAAAGCCGTCCTCTCTTCTTTTTCTGATAGCTACAACCTTCCAGTACCTCTCCCTGAGGATTACTGTTCTATTATCTTTTGATTCCTCCACCCACTGGATCCAAAAAATCAGTGACAAACCTTCTAGACGCCTAAAGCTCTCCTTCAACTTTCTTCCCTCTTCCTCTTTAGACAACATGGACCATTGCCTAATCCAAAAAGTCCCCCCGAAAAGTACCTGCAAGCAAGAATTAGTAACTCGATTTTGGAATACCACCTCATTTCTAATCGACCATAATACCCAACACATGGCTGCAATCCCCACTATTATTTGATTTCTTAGTCCAGGAGCAAATCTCCTTATCCAAGATCCGAACATGTGAGTAATGCTCTTAGGTGGTTGAAAGTTAAAGGTGATGAACAATGTATTCCAAACCGATCTAGCTATTCGGCAATCAAAGAAAAGATGTTGGATATTTTCTTCTAACCCACAGAAGCTACACTTAGTATCTCCTTTCCATCTTCTCTTAATCAAGTTATCCTTTGTTAAAATCACCCCTTTCTTTAAGTACCAAAGGAAAACTTTAATTTTCAAAGGTAATTTTGCTTTCCAGAACACATTATTCTCTGAAATCCTCTCTCTTTTCATTAATTCCCTATATAGTGACTGTGTGGAGAAAATTCCATTCTTTTTTATTTGCCAAATGAAGCTGTCCTTATCATTATTTAGGCTTACCTGAAGAACTAAAGAGACTAGCTTTAGCCACTCGTTTAGTCTGTCACCCACTAATCCCCGCCTAAATGAGACATTCAGCGGTGTTGAATTTAAAACACTAGCTACTGATACCCCTCTTTTCCTTACAATTCTGTACAGTTCTGGAAACCTTCGCCTTAACGGTTGTTGATCAATCCACACGTCCTCCCAAAATCTTGTTTGTTGCCCATTGTTAACTTTGAACTTACCATGTTGTAACAACAAATCTTTTACCCCCATCAGCCCAAACCAAAAATGAGAGTCCCCTGGACGTTTTTCTAACTGTGATAGACACTTGTTTTTTACATACTTCCTTTTAAGTACATCTTGCCACCGACCTTCCTCATTAAAAAGCTTGAATAACCATTTACTAAGTAAGCAATGATTCTTAGTTTCCAAATCTAAAATCTCCATTCCCCCCATACATCTCGGTTTACACAGGATACTCCATTTAGCCTGTATTTCCTTTTGTGTTCATCACATTGCCAAAAAAACCTAGACCGGTAATAATCCAACCTTTTCCTTACCCCCTTTGGGATGGCAAAGAAAGACATCATGAACATCGGCAGGCTTGACAAAACCGAGTTGATCAACACTAGTCTGCCTCCCGAAGAAAGAAGCTTCCCTTTCCAACTACTTAGCTTTTTCTGAAAGCCCTCCTCAATCGAGCACCAATGTTTATTTGAAAGCTTTCGATAGTGCATTGGAATTCCTAAGTATCTAAAGGGAAAGCTTCCCTCTACACAGCCAAAAATGCTCTTATCACTACGGGAAACCGGCGATTTGCCGAGTGCCGGAATCTTTGCCGAGTGTATTTTATCGGGCACTCGGCAAAGAGACCGTGTTTGCCGAGTGCCAAATAAAATACACTCGGCAAACAAAAACACACGGCAAAATACGTCTTTGCCGAGTGTTTTTTTTTTCTGGCACTCGGCAAAGAGGGCGTCTGCAGTTGTGTATATTCCAAACCATGGTTATTTGCTGCCCCAAAACAAAACAACTCACTCTTATGGAAATTGATTTTTAAGCCCGACAATTTTTCAAAAGCTACCAGCACCAGTTTTAAATTTTTGGCCTCATCCAAATCATCTTCCATAAACAATATCGTATCATCAGCGTACTGTACAATGGAAAGCCCATCATCGACTAGATTCGGTACCAACCCTCTAAATTGTCCGCAGTTTTTTGCTCTCGACACTAGGATAGCCAACATGTCTGCTACCAGATTAAAAAGGATAGGTGAGAGGGGATCTCCCTACCTAAGTCCTTTTCTAGTCTGAAAGTTATGGCCTATTTCCTCATTTACTTTAACCCCCACGTTTCCTCGACTCACTACCTCTTCAATCCTTTTACACCACATTGGCGAGAAACCCTTCATCCTAAGAGCCTGCTGAACAAATACCCAATTAACTTTATCATAGGTTTTTTCGAAATCCAACTTTAGAACTACCCCACTCATTTTCTTCCTATTCAGCTCATGAATAGTTTCATGAAGTATTACTACTCCTTCTAGGATGTTCCTTCCTGTCATGAATGCAGTTTGCGATTGTCTCACTACTTTATCAGCCACCGTCACTAGCCTGTTAGCCAAGACCTTAGTAAAGATCTTGAAGCTTACATTGAGCATGCAAATCGGCCCTGTATTGCTGAACTTGTTTGACTTCTTTTTGTTTTGGTATAAGAGTGATCGTCCCGAAATTAAGGTTAAAAAGAGGTAATTTACCAGCATGGAACTCTCTAAACATGGCCATTAAGTCATCTTTTATGAGAGACCAGAATATCTGGTAAAATTCCGCCGGAAACCCATCAGGACTGATGCCTTATTATGATTCATTTGAAAAATAGCTTCTCTTACTTCTTTCTCTGTGAACATTTCAGTGAGCAGCTTATTTTCTTCCTCAGTTATCTGAGGTGTATCATTTAATCTTGATTCATCCAGTGAGAAATTATTTCTCTGTGATGATCCAAACAGATCTTTATAATAATTTGTTATAAAAACTTTTAAGTTTTCCTGCCCCTTGATTACTTCCCCTTCTTGTTCTAGTTCAAAGATTCTTGTTTTCCTTCTTTTTCCATTAGCCACCATATAGAAGTATCTGGTATTATTATCCCCTTGTAGCAGATTTTTTGTTTTAGCTCTTTGGAACCATTTTATTTCCTCCTCCCGAAGTAACTGTGTGATTTTTCCATTCACACTTTGTTTCAGGTCCAGCTCTTGTTGACTTAAAACCTGGGACTCAGCTAATAAATCCAGTTCCCAGCCAGCCGGAACAATTCCTCTTTCTCTTTATAAAAATTCCCATTCTCATTCTTCGCCCAACCTCTCAAAAACTGTCTTAACCTTCTAATCTTGTTCTACCATTTCTTCATTGGGGTATCTCCATACTCAACACTCTTCCATACTCTTGCAACCACCTCGAAAAAATCCTTTTTGAGCAGCCAGCTAAGTTCGAATTTGAACTCAGGCTGGTTTCTCCTAAAAACCTTTTCACCGGTGCTAAGAAGAAGTGGAGTGTGATCAGAGATTTCCCTGTTCAGTGCATCTACCGTGACTAGAGGAAATCTATGCTCCCATTCCGTGCTAGCCAACACCCTATCTAACTTTTCATAAGTTGGTATTCTTTTGGAGTTAGCCCAAGTGAATTTCCTTCCAGACATTTCTATTTCCCTTAGGTTCAGACTATCTATAATAGCATTAAACAAGAAGGGCCATCGATCATCATATCTATCGTTGTTTTTCTCACTTGGGTTTCTTATTATGTTGAAATCTTCCCCCACCAGCAAAGGGAGAGACACTTTCCTGCAAGCCTGAACCAATTCCGTTAAGAATTGTTCCTTAAATTCAGGTTGAGCAGCTCCATAGACCGCTACTAAGCACCAATGAAAGGCATCGCTCATGTCCCTAAGGTGGAACTTTATAAAAAATTCCCCCTCCTCTATACTCCCAATATCACAAGCATCTAAATTTACTCCTAGCAGCATTCCACCAGACCTTCCACGCGGTTCAATCCAATGCCACACAAATTTTTCCCTCCACAATGCCTATCTAGCTTTGCCTGCGTAAAATCTTTTTTACCGGTTTCCAAGAGAGCAATGAAGTCTAGCCCTTGCTCTCTTGTCGTATTACTTAGAAATTTGGTTTTAGCCAAGTCACGAAGACCTCTGCTATTCCAGAAAATTCCTTTCATTTTTTACCAATATTATTTATCTTAACCTTTAATTTCCTTGAAGCCTTATTCCTTGACGACTTAGCGCCAGGCTTCCGTTGAACAGTCCTAAAATCACTACTTAGGTGATAACTATCTTCGTCGAAAATTTCTTCCATTACATCTCCACATAAAAACTCTAATGCTTTCTTCTCATAACTATCTGAGTAGACAGATTCATTGTCCGAGCAATCCTCTTCCCCTTCTCCCAGTACCGAACCTGGTTGTTCACTAGCTAACGCATCCTCAACTAGGTTCTTAACACTGCACTCAAAAGAATCCCCATTTATAGTTCCCGTCCCTAATCCTAAAGCCCACAAATTGTCTATCGCAATTGAAAGAGGTATAGAACAAGAATGGTCAGCCTGGTAATTACCTTTGTTGCGTTCCAGCTTTTTGGACTGCATTAATCGCTCCGCCCACCCCAGAGTGTGCTCAGCCAGCACTCCAGCAAGCCTCGGACTTGCCCTTGTCGGAGAATGGACCACCTCCTTGATTAATGCAGCTCCTACTAGCTTCGTACCAGCAGGTTGAACCACATCCATCACCGAGCAACTATTTTCCCTTTCTTCATTAGTAATCACTTTTGCATCTTCACCCAACTCCTTAACCTCTGGAACTGCAGCACTTCCTTCCACTTCCATTGGAACCCCTCCAGCATCCATCTCCTCTGGATTAACCTTAACCAATCCAAGGTTATCAGTATTCCCCTCCATGAACTCATCCGGTTCTTTGACCACTTTATCAGCTAGGTCCTCCAAAACCTCATCCACCACTACATCGAGTATCTTACTGGCCTTCCAACTAAGGAATTCCTCAAATTCCTCCTTACTGAGAACATGTCCATCAATAGGAACATTATTCTCCGACCGGGCATCCCTCCTATTTTCCTCCCCATCGCTCCCTTTGGAGCGCTTGTTATTTCTCAGCTTCTGTTGATCATTATTCAGTCCATCTTCAGTGTTCTGACCCTGGCTCTTCCCCTCTCCATCTCCCTCGCCTTCCCCTCCATCCCATTCAACCTCAACCTCCTCTCCTTTCTCATCAAAACCCCTCTTCTCCACTTCGAACTCCAAGTCAAAATAATGATCTCCAATCACCACATCTAGCATCCTCGGAATCAGCTTAGGATCAAGCACCGCAACTAAAATGCGTCCAAACTCATTCTTCCTCGTGGTCTCCATATCCACGGTCTGCGTTGCACCTAACAGAGATCCCACCGCCCATAGGATAGGGAACTCACGAAGCTGTTTTCTGATGCATCTCACCCTCACCCACACCTTAGGTAGCAGGAAGCCCTCTTCTTTTTCCTTCCACTCTTCAAACTGCATTCTAATACCATCAGGCACTCCTTCCCCCATTGCATCCGCTCCCCCATATGCTATTGAACGTAACAGCTCAGCCTTGGAAGGAAATTGGGTAAGAAACTCGTCTTCCCCAAGCTCCTTCAACTCCCAATTACACTTAATCGGCACCACCCTTCTTAGCTGCAACACAAGCTAGTCAGCAGACAGAGAGCCACCCACCACCGAGACTCTGGCCATCTTTGAGTCTTTCTTCGTCCTTGGCAATGGTGGATGCGGGATATGATAGAATCCCAGCCCCATCACTGCATAACCCGCCGCATAAGCCACCGACCTCGGCGCTTTGAGAAGAGGGCATTTGTGGTTCATGTGTTCATGCGAGTCGCATAACACACAATACACCTCCGCCTTGCAAGCCACCACTGCATGCCCCTTTTTTGAGCACCTGGAGCAGCGCCCACTCCCCTTACCAGCATCACCTCCATCCCTGCCCTCAGCGACCCCCAATGCCATTTCCCCATCAGTGCCTTTCTCCAGCTTGGAAGCACCCCCATTTTCCTCAGAAAACTCACCAGCCTCTTCACCTTTTCCTTGTTCCTAGGCCTGTCGCCCATCTTCATGCCACACCCATCTTCCTGACGTCGGCTCCCAAGGTCCAGCTCTCCTAGCTGCACCTGGCAGACGAAACTGCCCAGCTCGTCCCCTACCAGAATCGCCAAACCTTCCAGCTCGCCCCTTTCTAAAATCGCCCCGCTGAGCACCACCTCTCCAGGCCCAACTCTCCCGCCCGCCCCAGCTTCTTCCCACGCCAGCTGCGCCCCGATCGCAGCGATAAGGGCCATACGCGCCTGCGCTCGACCTCTCATCTCGCCCGCACCCGTCACGGTCGCCCACCATCCTCGCCGAGCTCGCAACCCCCTCAGCTTTGCGCTCACAGACCTTTGGTCCAACAGGCGGACGCTTTTGGTTGAGACTCGAAATAACCCTCCGAGCCCGAGTCGAAGCGCTTAAGTTCTCCCCACCCCCCGCCAAACTCCTCGGCATCCCCCCGGCATTAAACAGGAGACATAAACCCCTCGTTGGTTTAAACGTTGGGTGTGAACCAACATTGAATAATTTGCTGGCCACGAGCTCACCCAGCTCACGCGCCTTTGGGCGGCCCAATGGCCGCCCCCATCTCATAACCGATCCTGTTCCCCCTCTGTTCCTTTCTCCTAGGTCAGAGTTAACACATCCACCGTCCTCAACACACAAATCTCTTAAAGATACTGATATCCTAGGAGATTTGGATTGTCTAAGATCCTTGACCAAGATGTCTCCTATCTGCCGATTTTGTGGGGACCTCGGTTTAGGCAGCGGCCCCTTCCACGTTTTCTCGGTTCTCTGGAAGCGCAGATCAGCCACCGGCTCCTTAATTCTAGATACCAACGGCCGAGGATGGCTAACATGCCCAGCCCCCCTATCAACTGAAGCAAATTTTGGAGAATGAAAATTCTCCGTTAACAGAGACTCTGCTCTTATCAAATCATCTACCGAAAACCCGACTCGTGTTGCATCACGGATGAATTCTCTTTCAGAATTATAAGCTTCTTCATCCGGATCTTCCCCTCCTTTTTGATAACATCGTCATCACTCTCACCATTGTCACCATCTTCAATTGCCCAGAATCTCGATCCCTTCCATGGTTTTTCAACTCCTACGAACTGCTCTAAGGTCGAAAGGTATGGTGCAGAGTGTCGCCGTTTAAGGCTCCCTGACACCACCGAACCTCTACTGAGCCCCATTTGCTCTGTTATTAACATACAAAGCTTAGAAGACTTAGCTTCTAAGCAATGTATCAGCACATTGCTCCTCTTTTCTACGCTTGTACTACTATCCACAACTTTACTATGAAGCACTTATGTCAAAACGTACCTGGGATTCAATTTCCCCTACTGACGCAATCTGTCGAATAGGTGCCGGACATCAGCAATGGCAATCCGCCTCCGTCGTGCCGTCCAAGTGCCCTCAGCAATGGCAATCCGCCTCCGCCGTGCCGTCTAAGTGCTCCCTGCAAGACAATACACTCACACCAGCAGCTTCTCCTCTGCCCGCCGTCCTCGTAAGCTCCGCCCAGCTCCACCCGCAGCACGGCGACCTGCACAGCTCCCACGGTGGTGTCGTCGCCGCCACCGCTGGTGCCGCCTTAAGGCTCACGTCGTGTCTTCCCAGACGACGACATGACGCGCCGTCCTCGCCCTGTTCCCGCACCGGCGCCGGTAAGCTCGCCCACTGGCTATCCCAGGATCAGCCTGTCCGCCGACAGTAGGCGGGCGCCCGGCACCCTGCTAACTGGCTGCGGAAGTGCGGAACAGAGACAGGGCCGCCAGCCGTTCCGCCGCTAAGTGCACAGCGGACGGGGCGGTTCTGTGCCGCCGGCCGCCGTGTGGCGCCTGAGCCGGAGCGTGGAGACCGGAGACGCCTCTGTCTGTCTCTCTATGGGTGTTCTCAAATTGAGGTTGCAAAGGGAGCCTTCTGGTACAGTCACCTCGGGTCGATAGAAGAACTGGAGCTCCAATATTTCCTTCACTTGAACACCTCATCGTTAAGGGATTCCAAAGGTTGACGCTTGACTCAGGTTTTCAAGGATGCATAAGGCGTATAATTGAATCATGCAGTAACCTATCACTATCATCTCTAGAAGTTAAAGCATATTCACAGCTTCCTTCCAAATTACTTATATTGGAAGCAAAAATCTGTTGCTTCAATGACCATGTAAAACTATTCCAATACCTGATCGTTGAGGGATACCCTAGGTTATCACTTGGTTCAGCCTTTCTAGGATGTATAAGGCGTATAATTGAATCATGCAGTGAGGTAGAATTATCACGCGGAAAATTTATTGGGTCTTCATGCCTTTCTAGACTTCTTGATGCAGAAACAAATATCCTTGGCTTCTCTGGTGGTTTAGAGCTTCTCCAACACGGCATCAACCTGTGTAAATTGACTATTAAATCCAACAGTGATCTGACCACCTTACCATGGGGCGTCCAGAAGTGTCAAAACCTTAGGTGCTTGCAGATATTGAACTGCTGGAATTTTTCAGTGCTTCCTGATTGGTTGGGGGATCTGACGTCTCTTGAGGAGCTAGAAGTTCACGCTCCCAAATTGCAGTGCTTGCCTCATGCCATCAAGGATCTGACCTCCTTGAAGACATTGACTCTTAAGCAATGTAATTATAAACTGCGTGAGCGATGCAACATTTCAGGAGAGGACTACAACAAGCGCATCAAATATCATGTACAGGTAATATACCCTACTTTTAGTTACCACTAGTTCCTAAACCCGTGATTTGAAGAGATATAAATATTAGAAATTTATACGTAAGTTATAAGGACTGAAAATAAAGGTGGTCAGAGAGGGAGAATGAGAGCCAATAAAATTTGTCCGCAAGAATTTGGTCTATACCCTAATTATTACCCAATGCACATTTCTTCTAATTATCAAAGTCACACGTGCCAACTCATGACATGTTGACCATAGGGACAGAACATTTCAGAAGCAAAACATATATATAATGTTTGTTCCATTGCTCATGAGTTCCTTATGCATGAGCATCAAGGAATCTATTTACTTATGAGATAAAAGTTGATATGCTTTTGTGATTCTGTTTTTAATCTTGGCTGCTAGAACCCGTTTATCTCCTAGGTCAATACTATAAAAGCCATCATATTTGTTCTGTTTGGTGTGTTTCCTTCATTAGCATTGATGGTGATGTCAAATTTTTTAGAGAGATGTGAGATAGCGACCTGTAGAGCATGGTGGAGGAACGAGAGATGTGGGAGTGAAGTAATTCATTGAGTTTCTATGGGAATGCCAAATAATTGCAATGGTGTATGAATAGCCTGGTTCCACGACATCATGGTGCATAGTTATATGCTATCTAATTTCTTATTTTCTAAGTTTTGATTTAGTCAAATATAGTTCCCCATCACCTATGGTATCATGATCACCACCCAATATTTTTATTCTCAGTTAGCTAATGTAGGAGAGAGAGAGAGAGAGAGAGAGAGGATGCTTAACTTCTATCACCAGTAGAGAAATGACCTTTCATCCGCTCTGATTTTGGGTTTTAGTCTCGGTATTTTTTGCGTCCGGGAGTATAGGAAGAATTAGTCCCGGTTGGAGCTACCAACAGGGATTAAAGGCCCCTGTCCTGGCATGCTTTCGCAGCAGGCCACCTTTAGTCCCGGTTGGTATTATCAATCCGGACTAAAGGTCGACCTTTAAGTATTACCAACCCGGACTAAAGGTCGACCTTTAGTCCCGGTTGGTAATACCAACCGGGACTAAAGGATGACCTTTTAGTCCCGGTTGGTGTCACCAACCCAGATTAAAGGTCTCTCACCCGGAACTAAAGGTACCCCACAGGTCAATTCAAAAGGAGAGTCTCTAGGACCCTGTCACATGTGGTGTACAACTGAATTGGTAAGGAGTTTATGCACGAGGAAAGAGGTCCTGGGTTCGAATCTCACACATCGCAAGAGATGCCTCCCTACAATTCTGTTTATTTTTCTCCTGAGGATAGACCTTTAGTCCCGGTTATGTGACCGGCCAGGACCTTTAGTCCCGGATTCGTAGTCCCGGTTGGAAAACCGGGACTAAAGCCGGTTCCCAACCGGGACTACAACCCATTTCTCTAATAGTGTACGCTTGATGGCACAATAATCACATTGATCCACTTGGAGATGCACTTGGCCTACGGTTCCTAGTGACTCCACCCAACGACTGCTTGTTCCATTGCTCATGAGTTTCTTAGGCATGAGCATCAAGGAATCTATTTTTTTCATGATTCAGATATTTTTTGTTTGCTTCTTTATTTAGATAGTTTGCGCCAAGCCAAATAGAAATCAGAACATCCTTTTGTCATTATCTTTATTCCAAAGTAGCTATTTATTAATTGATTTTTTATGAACTCATTGTTTAGTGTTTTACTTTTTAATCCATATGAGAAACTTGAAATAATGGTTTCCTTCATTTCATTCCGAAATTTCTATTAATTAAATTATTTGCACATGTTCTTTACGTAGATATTTGCTTTCTAACAACCTCAACAGAAATATTAAGACTTATTTCATTATAAATTTAGCTATTTAATAATTGTGACATTGTTACTTTGTTAGGTGGTGTTCTTATCCGTTCTTATTATAGAAGTAGATTACTAATTTCTATATATAACGTTTTGATTCCTGATTTAGCTATATATTATCCAATATTTAGTAATTTGTATGGTCCTTTTTGGTTAAACCAAGACCATTAGATCATTAACACGAGCAGTGAAAATGTTTTTAGGCCCTTTATTTTGCTGAACTCGGTAGTTTTCACAAATTTCTATAAATCATTTGTATATTTACATGGGTTTTGTTTTTTTATTTTGCTTTCAAATTCAAACAGAAATCTGAATACTATTTTTATTTATATTATTTGCTAACTTGTAACACCCGCATCCAAAATCTGCTTACAGCCTAGTTCCTCACGTCGGGTCCACATACGCGCAACATATCTCTTATGCTTTCGTCCTAGTTTCGTGTAAAAAAGATAAGGGAGGAGCTACATTTGAAGTGACAAGGATTATAAGCAACCCATCACCCTCCTAAACTTCTAAGATGGCATTAACCTACCAACTACAACCATGCATATGCTACATGGACCAACTACTATATGCTATGAAAGGGCTGGGGTGTTATATTATTCACCCCGTCCCCCCAAGGGTTAACGCCTCGGCATCTCACCTATGTAGCACATGCCCAAAACCACCCCTTGGTATACACGCTTCACAGGCAGATGCCTAGAACCAACACTTGGTATACCTCTCCATGGGCACATGTAGTAAGTATATCCTCTGGATAACACCGCGCATCTAAAATCTGCTTACGGGCCAGCTCCTCACTTAGAACGGGCTAGCATATGCATAGCCCATCTCTTACACGTTTGTCCTCGCTTCGTGTAAGTGGTTAACCCGGAGGTGCTGCATTTAAAGCGACAAGAATTATAAGCTGGTCTTGCTTACCCTCGTGAACTTCTAAGATGGTACTAACTTACCAACTACAACCACGCATGGGTCATATGAGCCAACTACTATAGGCTACAAACGAGCTAGAGTGTTTCGTAACTACACACTGTTTTACGCTGCCAAAGCTTCAATTCTTCGTGTATTTCTGCTCACCGGCAAGATTGCTCGACAAAGCCAAATGTTGTTTTTCTTTTGACCGTATATACAATAGCTAGACCTTTTTTGTTAAAGTAAGCAAATACAAATGGTACGATGGAAAGAAACCAGATTATAGAACTGTATCTCATTACATCCGGATTCGTTTCCCCTCCACTGCAATTTATGTTGATGGATCTAAATAATTAAGGCATGTTTGGAAGCCCGGATCCAAAACCTCTGTAAATTACAGGCCACAATTCTTTTCCAGTTCAAGATGGAAATCGCTGTTTGGATGGCGGGTGAATCTATTAAAATTACACTTGTTTTGGGCTAAAACCATAGGAAAAAAATAAATACCTGTGAAGGCCCGAAAATAAAAACGAGAAACATCGGGCCCCTCGAGCGCCTCTCGCACGTCCTGTCTCGGCGGCGGTGGCGGCGGCGGTCACAACCCCAATTACCCGAGTGCCGTCTCGACGATGACGCCCGGCTCCGTGGCCTTCTGCAGCCGCGCTGTCCCTCGATCCCTCCCTCCCCAGCTCCCTCTCCCATGTGCCATGGCTATGCAGCGTCGATTCCGTGCAGCAGCGAGGCTGCGAGGGTGAGGGCGAGGCCGCGCAGGATGGGAGAACCAGCACGGCGGCGGCGAGTGACGTCGGGTGGCAAAGCCACGCCGGCAAATCGAGTCCGTGGACTCAGATACGGCGTACTCAAATCACCGGCAGACTCAGATACGGCGTACTCAAATCACCGGCAAATCGAGTCCGTGGACTCAGATACGTCGGGTGACCATCGCCTTCCAATTTGATGGTTCCATCTGATTTTTCTGGAGCTCCTGTATGAACTCTTGATCTGAAATTTGTTCAGTTCAATGGTCCAATTGATACTTCGATTGGAAATATGGTGCTCTGATCTGAATCTTTTAGCTCCCATTTTGGTTTGGCTCGGTTGCATTTCATGCGCAATCTGAAAACAGAGTTCGACAGTGAATTTTTTTTGCTGATAAACCATGGTTCTCGACCTTTTGTATTTTCAATTAGAACGATCTCCTATTATTTGTTCTAGATAAATCCTTGCAAGGCGAGGTAATGTTTTGCAGTTTTCTTGCAGTGTACAAATCAAATGGATGGTGTCATGTCGAGTTGTTCTGCAAAGTCGATTTTGTATTTTTCATATCCTTTGACCCCTTACCCAAACAGCAGTTTTCTGAACAGTAATCATCCATTTCTCTTACAAGGGTTTTTCTTGTGCACAATAAAATACAGGTGTAATCCAATTATGGGTGCAAAAGTTTACTATACTCCCAAACAGGCCCACTTAATTGGGTTCACAATACATGTCATATTTGTCATGGACTTGTCTGTAAATTTAGACCATTAGATCATCACAAAATCCCGATTAATCTCGTAATTTTTAGGACATCTCAGTGGGCTCCTTTTAACACTGTTGTATTAATATACGAGTAATAATAGATACATATATAGACTTTGTTATCTTTATTCAATTATGATAGACTTTAGTTACCAATTATCTTTATTCCTTACATGATGTTAAACCGGTTTCATGTACTACTAGCCCAGCATCGATTGTCCGATGGTTTACATAAAGGCTGTATTAGCACACATAGAGATTGGTTTACATATTATGCACCCCAGCTTGACAATTGCAGGATGTTCACCTTTTTTTTTGTCTTTGTTTTGCTGAGATAGCAGGGCCTCGAGGTTTCCATCAGGTCATCAAGTGACGTAGCTCTTTTAGAAAAAACTACGAGTCGCCAGCTTATTGAACTAAATATTAAGGAACTTCAACATCTATCAAGCTCGGAAGCTGAGAAAATCAATTTGGTGGGTAAAGAGGAGCTACAGCTGTTAAGTCTGGAGTGGAGTTCAAAATGTGATATGATCGATAATGTTGCGTTAGAAAACCTCCAGCCTCATCAAAACCTTGGAAGGCTTTGCATAAAGAACTACCCCATTGGTGCTGGCTTTCCTCATTGGATGCAGTCGCTCCCAAATCTTGTGAGCATGGAGCTTTCTCACGTTCAAGCTGGACATCTCCATCTAGATCATTTACAAAATCTTGAAGATCTGCATGTTTCGCCATTCTCTTCTTCTGAAGAGCGTATTAGGTATGCAAGTCCGAGATCAATGCTACGCATCTCTAGCACACGACCGCTGAAAAAACTCAAAAGAGTGACCATGGCATGGGTAGGGAAGTTGGTGTGGGAATCCTCGTGCCTGCCCTCCGAGAATCTATTTCCTGGACTTGAATATTTGGAGATATACTGTTGTCGGGACGTGAAATTCGAGCCGTCAATCCCTAGGAGCGCCAGGTATATAATATCAGGAAGAAGATTACACGAATGGTCATTTAGGTGCCCATCATTCAAGCAAGTCATGGGGCTATCCACATCTGCATCATCCAAGTTGGAAATCAAGTACATCATCGGACAGCTATCTTGTGAATCATTTGATTCTCTTCGACAACTCGACTGTGAAGAATTAACTGTTGACACCTGCAGCAATCCTGTCCCGTTGCCAGAGTGCATTCAGGACTGGAAGTCCCTCCGAAGATATTGAACTGTGAGGACATCAAGGAGCTGCCAGATTGGTTGGGAGACATGGCCTCTCTCCGTGAGCTCAAAGTTGAGACCTACTGGATGAAAACTCTGCCTCAGTGCATCGGGAGGCTTACATCTTTGCAGACCTTGGCACTATTAAAATGCACAAAAAAGTTTAAGCAAAGATGTAGCGAGGGAGGCCATGATTGGAGCAAGATAAAGCACATTGACAATCTAATCGTAGAAGAGTTGAAGCGATGAGAAATATTGATATTGTTGGGCTCTAAGATTGCTGAGGAAGTCCAGAGGCTCATGGATGGAGGACACCACTAAGCCAGAGTGCTTGGCGTGCATAAATGTCGACAGAATATCGTCGGCAGTCCTCCGAGGGGTATCCCACGAAGGTAGATTGATCGGCAGAGAAACGTGTGATCAAGAACAAGAAGGCAACAGAGACATACGAGTTAGACAGGTTCAGGCCGTCAGTATGACGTAATACTCTACTCCTATGGTCTGTTGGTTTGTATTAGCTATCGTATGATATTGCGTGTGTTTGGAGGGGGTCCTTGCCCGCCTTATATAGTCTGGGAGGGACAGGGTTACAAGTTGGTTAGATCTAAGAGATAACCGGAAAGTAATAACAGATTACAACAATCTTGGGATCATACGTATCCTAACAGATCTCGTAGTATCTTCAGGATATCTTCCCGATGTCTTGCGGGAGACGCCGAACAGACTCGTGCCCCGCAAGTCTTCGTCTTGTGGGTTGGACCGCCCCTGGGGGCGCAGCCCATGTGGTCTGTCATGGGTATCCAGAGTTGTACCCCCCACAGCTAGTCCTCGAGCGCCTTGTACCCGTTACGCAACGCCGTCTTGAGCTTGTTCGAGCAGGTACGAACAAAGCCGAGCAGTCAAACTCATGGTCCGACCACCATGATGAGTTGCCGAGCAGTTGTGAGCAGTTGCCGAGCAGCGTGAACCGTCGTCGAGCAGCGTGAACCGTAGCTGAGCAGTATAACTCAAGTACGGCTTGTCATAAGGGTGTAAGGAGCTCAAGTTCATAATTAAAAATTTCTTCGCAGTGGACCAAGTGTGCCAACTTAGAGTCCGACCACGAGAAAAAGAGATAATCTTCTTCAGCTTCAAGAGGCGCGGAGTCTTCCAGAATAAAGCAAACACATTCACCGCAAGGTAAAGTGTGCCCACTTAGTCTCCGAGCTTGACAGTAGGTGACATGGTCACGTGGTGCCAGGGTCAGAAACAACAGTCATCTCGGAGAAAACAGAATCACGAAGAAAACACCGGAGTAATGGCTGTACAGTGGTAATTATTGAGCCGTTACGGTTGGCGGAGATGTCGGCGAATATTCAGCGAGCCGTAACAAATTGCGGAGATAAATCAGCGACACGGACCGGGGTTGCGCAAAGGCCCAGGTAATAGCCCACCTTTAGTTGCGGAGAATTCAGAGAAGCACAAATTGCGGGAACAGTTTCCCAAAAACCCTCGAATGTGAAAAGGTGGGGGGAGTGCTTTATAACTGCGTCGCCGCACCCTGCGCTCATACCTTTGCCCCTTTGTCATTTCATCTTCCTCCTCAGCCATCGCATTCCTAGATTCACATCTACACCTGCTTCCGCCGCCAAACCCTAACCAGATTTGAGAGATGGCGCCGAAGAAGGGAGCTACGAAATCGAAGAAGACGAGCCCCTAGAAGGCGATCGCCGAAGTCTGGCGTGACGAAGAGTGGGTGCCGTCGTGGACGGGAGAGGCGGAGCTCAACAGATTGGTGGAGGCAGACATTATGCCTAACCGCGTCACCGCCAGATGGCGGCCGGCCCTCGGTGAGCTCTTCCCCATGCCTCATACCGATGAAGTGGTGGTATTTGAGGATTATTTCTGGCGCGGTTTGGGATTTCCTGTTCATCCATTCCTGAGGGATCTGTTGGTGCTCTGGGTGGTTAGTCTGTGCAACCTCCACCCAAATACCATATTGCACATATCTATCTTCATCTATTTCTATGAGGCGTATCTCTGAATCCTTACACACTTCAATCTCTTCCGTCACCTGTTCTAGCTGAAGAAGAGAGGCAACGATGGTTCCAAGGTGGTCGACGGAGTGTATCTTCAGCTGCACGATGGGATGGCGGGGGAATACCTTACTGTTCACTAAGCACATCGCTAAAGGGGTGGAACACCAGGTGGTTCTACATGAAGCAGAGCCACCCTACAGTCCGCTGCAACGCCGACCACATACCAAAGAGCCAGAGGAGCTGGTCAGAGACACCAAGCAGCGCTGATATGGAGCAAGTGAGGGAGCTCCTTGGCTTAATAAAGGGCGTGAAGACCAACGGTGGATTAGTGGCGGCAAGCTTTATAGTGCGCCGTATCCAGCCCTACAAGGAGAGGGCCCACCCCGCCTTTGAGTTCAAAGGGGAGACCGACAGAACCCGGGAGAGGTCGGAGATGCTATCGAGGGATGTTGTGCAGGAGCGGGCCACAGAGCTGTTCGCTCCACTTGCCTCATTCAACTTGCCAGGGCAGACGAAACCCTTTCACTGCAAAAATCTACCTCCTCAGGTAAATATCTCAGTTGTATATTCCTGATGCTTTTTTATCTTGTGTCATTGCCAAGCAGTTGACTGATTTACTCATGCGAAGATCCATTCGCAGGAAAGAGCAGTGTACTTCTCGGGCATGTTGAGGAGCGATTGGCCGAAGGGAGTAGATTCCCGGCCACCATCGTAGCCTAAGGAGGAAGCCGTCAACATATCATCGGAGAGTCCATCCCCGGTGTCGGAGAAAATCCGGGGGGAAATGGCAGCAGCAGACGAGCCAGCCCGGAAGAAGAGAAAGACGGCGGTGGCCGCCGCTCCCCTTAAACCGGGTGGCATCTCGCTTGGCGATGACCAGACCACTCGAACACGAAGGAACACGGTGTTCGAGTGGTCGGATGACGATGAAATTCTGGTTGCTCCTCCACCGAGCACTGAAGCACCTCCGCGCAACACGCACGTGGAGGTACAATCGAAGAGAGCCGAAGAAGTCCCCGAGCAGCGGGCGAGGGAAGTCCCCGTGCAGCAGGCGATGGGAGCCCCCAAGCAGCAGGCGATGGGGCTCCTAGAGCGGCAGGAGAAGGAAGTCCCTAAGCGGCGGGCAGAGCAGAGGCCGACGGTGGAGGAGGCAGGACCTCCACCCCAGAGCACAGAGGTCGACCCCACGGTCACGCCTGGGGGCTCGGGTAGGCATCGCCGGTTTAAGAAATTGTACCGGCAGACCAAACCGTAAGTATCCTTGCCTAAGAGTTACTTTGCTATCATTTCTTAGCTTTTTTGGTGACTGACGAGATGATCTGATGCAGTGCAAAGCGTGAGGAGGATCCGACCCCACCCGTCCGGACTAATGAGCAACCGAAGGCTGGTCCCAGAGCAGAAGAGGTGCCGGTAGACCCCATCCCAGAGTCCCCGGTTGCTCGGCGGCCTACGGAGGAGTCAACCGCCGTTGCTGGTGGACTTGGCGGCGGCGAGAGGTTGGCGTCGATGGCGGATGGGTCGGCGATGATGCTGGAGGTGACGACAGAAACCGCCAGGTCTTCGGGAGCAGAGGCTGGAGCCACCGATGCCACGCCGGCATTCGAAGCGGAGGGGCCTGTGGTGCCGGTGGAGCAGACGGTGCTGCCTGAGACGTCGGAGGGTGTGGTCAGACACGCTATCTGGTGATCGAGCCCCCAGGTGGTGTCTCCAGCTGCGATGGAGGAGGATGAGGTGGAAGAGATCGAGCGTGCTGAACCTCGACCCTAATCTGTCTGAATCCTCCACAAGCGCGGCGACGAGGTGATGGTTATCAACAAGGAGGACACCACCAGGGAGATGAGGAGACTGAAGTCCGCCCTTGCCAGAGTGATGAAACAAATCAGGTCAGTACTGCATCTGGAGTGCTTGTCTTTGACGTTGGAGATCGGAGTTTGTCATTATCATTGTGCATTTGCAGGGGATAACTCAGACTGCCGAGTAGCGGCACCAGCTGATAAAGAGGATGGAGCCCCTCGCCGAGGAGAATGAAAAACTCAAGGAGGCGATGAACCTCATGGAGAGAAACATCCAGAGGGCCCAGCGTGAGCGAGACCTTGCAGAGTCCAACGCGCGAGACCTGGAATACCAGAAGGGCATCCTATCTGAGCAGCTGGCGGCCGCGTCCGAGCAGCTGCGGAGCAAGTCCAAGCAGCTGGCCACTGTCTCCGAGCAACTGAGGGGTGCTTCCGAACAGTTGGAGCAGCTATGGAAAGTCTCCGAGCAGAAGGAAGGTATGTTCGATCGGTGAAATTGCTTGGTGTTGCTAAAGTATCATTATTACTGACGACTGTTGTGCTTGTAGAGCAAGATGCGGAGCTCGGCCAGCTACGTCAGGCCATCGAGCAACTCCGAGAGGAGAAGGTGAAGGAGGCTGGGCAAGCAGACAAACTAGCCAGGGAGTTGAAAGGTGAGTACTTCCTGGTCAGAGTTACTGTTGAAGTAGTTTCCTTGCTTGATGGAATCTTGTAATGCTTGCAGACTATCGTCGGAGGGTCAAGGCACAGTTTGATGTGCTGGTGCAGGAGGCCAGGACCCAAAGGGAGAAGTTCGACGCCGTAATCGCCGAAGTTAAACCAGTGCTCGACTGTGTTGACCTGGAGGTGGCTCCTCAGCCCAACGGCAGGCCACCGCGTTCAGACACTATCATCCAAAGGTGCAAGGCGGAGTGGGGGAGCTTCAAGAGTTTCAACCATGACACCGTTGTTACCGCCATTACTCATGCCCTTGCGATGGTTTGGTCCCACTATCAATCCATTGACCTTCAGGCGATAGGGGCTGGATTCGCCGAAGGGATGGGCGAGGCGGAGACCTAGCAGCTAGAGGATGAGGTGGAGGACGCGGCAAAGAAGCTAGCCGGCGACATAGACCTGTTTGGCGAGACGGACGACGATGGCGGAGCTTGGTGATCTGCTCGGATAATATTATCTGTAACATCTGGAGAGGATAGTTA